TTCTTATATAATATGATCCCTTATATATAATCACTATAATTAATATTCAGTATCTAATAATTTAATGTATTTATTAGGGAGAAGAAATAATAAATGTTGATTTTGATTTTTTTGATCCGAAAGATAGTGATTTTCATTCAATAAAAACTTTGTTAAAACAATTGTTTTCTTCAGATTCAGAGTTGTTTGAGTTGAGTGAATTAACAGAATTAATTGTAAATCAACCATCAGTAGGCACAACTGTTAAAGTGGATGGAAGTGACTCTGATCCTTTTGCATTTCTAACTGTATTAAATATCAATGAACACAAGGTAATAATTGTTATAGTTATTCAAAATAATTTATCATAATCTATTATTAATTTATTAATTGTTTTATTTTTTAGAATAAAAAATGCATGAAGAGTTTAATAAATTATTTATTAGAAAAAACTAGTAAAGATGTAAAATTAAATGAAATACTATTAGAGCTATTTGATCAAATAGTCAATAACAGCAGTAACAACAGTAATAATAATAGGAATAGGAATAAAAATATTGGATAAGTATTATTCATTTAAAATATAATCGGAAATTTCTTAACTATGAGTGTAATCATGAATAAAATTTTTTTGTTACTATTATCTCAGAATACAATATTTCCCTTTTCGAGCATCCCTAATATTTCGTTTTGTTAAACAATCGAAAAAAAAAAATTCAGAGCGTGTTCTTAAACAATGAAATATTAGCAATAATAATATTATTTTTATAGATCTCTCTATGATTGTTGTTTTCAGGAATAATACTGCAAAAATCAAAAATCAATCATGATTGTTTATTTTTTAATTTAAAAGAAAGACGAAAACCGCTTTAAACTTCAAAAATAAACGTAAAAAAACAACAAATATTAAAATAATAATAATTTACAAAAAAAATAAATTTTATTTCTTTCCTCATTGCTTTTTATTAATACTACATACATAATTAATTTTTCAATTCAATTCAATTCAATTCAATTCAACTTCTCACACATTTTTTCTTTCTGTAAAATAATATCATGGCAATACTTTCTCATTTAGTAAATTTTTCATTAAATCTTTACAACGTCTTGATACAACTTAATTACAAATACATATTCGGCTTAATCTTTTTATATTATGTGATTCGTCCTTACATAGAATACTTTAGAACACGTAAAAATCGAGCTCCTGGTCCATTACCATGGCCATTGGTTGGTTATTGGCACATTTATCTTTACGGAGACGTTGCAAAAAAACAATATGATTTAAATGAGAAATACGGTGACGTTGTAGAAATCGAAATGTACGGGTTTAGATGCATTGTGATTAGTGAACCTAAATTATTAAAAGATCTATTTAGTCCAAGTGTCCGTAGTCCTTTCCTACGTAGAATACCTCTGTTGCCCGGTTTCATTGAACTGGGTATGGACAAAGAAGGCTTGTTGTTGAATTTGGATGTGGATAAGTGGCGTCATAATCGTAAATTTTTCCAACAGTCATTATCTCCACCTTCATTCATCGATTTGAGTACAAAGTACACGCGAGAATGTTGTGAAGAGATGATGGATTATTGGAGAAATGTGAATGACGGAACTGTTATTAGATTAGAGGAATGGTATCGAGCTTTTACAAGTGATATGATGGGTTTGGTAGCAGCCGGTGGTAAAGAAGAATCAATGAAAATTTTATACAATAAGGTCATTAATAATTATTCTGCCAAAAAAACTAATAATACAAAAGAAATCCAGAATGATAAAGGTGAAAAATACCGGCAATTACGTTCCGAGTATCCAGATGCTTGCGCATTTTATATTTTTGTACCAAAATTATTATGGAACTTGCCTTTTATTAAAAGTAGATATCAATATTATAGAAATGTACTTGATTGGTTGACAGATTTTGAAGTTAATTTCATCAAAGAACGTAAAAGTCAAATCGAAGAAGAAAAAACCATAACCACTAACAAGATCAATAAAACTAGTAAACATGGTAGTAATATTAAACCAGATTTTCTAACAATGTTAATCACAATGAACGGCGAGGTTGAACCAACACCGGATGAAATTAAACAAAATATTAGAGAAATGTTCAGTGCAGGAACAGGCACAACCACCACAACTTTATGTACAACAACTTATCTTTTAGCAACACATCCTGAAATTGAAAAACGTATGCTTGATGAAATCTTGGAAGTCGTTGGGCCTGATCGACCAGTTGAATCTTCCGATCTTCCAAAGCTTGAATTCACCGAAGCAATCCTCAACGAAGCAATGAGATTATACCCAGTCGTGCCAATAACGTATCGTTACTCGCCAGATTACGATACACAAATAGCTGGCTACAAGTTTCCACCGAATACAGTCTTCGCAATAGATCTTGGTCATATTCATCGTAATCCCAAATATTTTAAAGATGCTGATAAATTTATTCCGGATAGATTTATGGGCAAAGATTGGAAAGATACCATTCCACAATTTGCTTTCTCGCCATTTGGTCATGGAATGAGATCTTGTCCTGGTAAACATTTGGCAATGACGGAAATGAAAGTTATTTTGGCTACTATTTTTAGAAAATTTTCCTTTAAATTAGTCAAACCTAATGATCCTCTTAATATTAGATTCACATTAGTAAATGATATTTCTGAATTGGATGTTTATGCCGAGAAACGAATTCTTTAAATTATTTTTTTTGTAAATTATTATTTTTTTATTTATTCATATATATATTATATATTTGATAAATATATTTTTGATAAATATATTTTGATAAATATATTTTATTCTATTCATTGTAATTATCAAATGGATTTGTATTATTAATTTGTAATATTTAATTTTTTTTTTATTATATAATAAAATTTTTTGTGGGAAAAAAATAACAAGAATCAATTATTAACTTGTATTTGTACATTGAAAAAAAAATTAAATACCAATATAATTATATATATATTAATGTGATTGTAATAAACAGGAAGAAAAGTAAACGTTAATCAATTGACGGATAATTAATTCTATACCCTGATCGACTAATTGTTCTTTTTTTTTCTTTTTTCTTTTCTGTAAGAAAGTCCTATATATATTAATATTCTATATATACTTGTAAGAAAAAAAAATTAAGCGTACAGTTGACAACTAGGTTGATGTCTATCATTTCCATGTTTACGAATTTCATCAAAATCTGCCATACATCTAAATTAGTTAATAAAATAAAAATCAATTAATCAATCGATCAACCTAATATAATCAATTAATAATAGAATCCAATAATAACAAAATCCAAGAATTAATACTTACAGCCAACAAAATTCATATTTACAGCTTGAAACTTTACAAGTCATATGATTACAACCACCATTTTTGGAAATTCTAACTCCACATTTAGGGCAAGGTTTTGTTTCTCTTGTTAAATAATCAAGGGTTGCTGCCTCTTCATTTTTTCTTAACTTATCATATTCATCACATGACATGTTTTCATGCCATGGTATATCATGAACATAACATGATCTTGCTTTACAAATTTGACACGTCACGATTGGTGCATATTCTTAAAAACAAATTTAAAACAATTAATTGATTATTCAAAGAAAAAATAAACAAGCAAACAAATAGAATTTTATCAACTTACCACGGTTTGCATGTATTTGTCCAGATCCACAACTAGGATTTTTACACCATCTAAAATCAGGCATCGAATTTAATTCTTGTCGTACTGTCAAAAGGTCAAATCTTTCAAACATTTCTTTTCTCACCAAACGTTTAACATTATCATATGTAAGGAGTTGAGCACAACCGGTAACTGGACATGTTATATTGATGTCACCTTTTTCATCGAGTCTTGTTCCTATATGTGACCTTATACAATTACGACAGATAATTTTTTCGTGACTACAAGTGTTTGTTATTTGTAAAAATCCTTTTTTGTTTCGTTTCTCCAAACATATCATGCACTCAAGTCTATTATCTTCTTCTTCATAGTTCGATCCCCCCTTTTCATCTTGCTTCGTAGTTGTTGAAAATTTGTATTCTTCTGAACTAGCTAAAGATGTTGAACTAGATTTAGATTTAATAGTAGGAACAACGAGTGTGTCGTTATTGTTGTTTTTGTTGTTGCAGTTTTTGTTGCCACTGTTATTTTTTTTGTCAGTTGATGAAAAATCCTTGGGACAATCAGATTTGGGTAGCTTATTATAATCAGACGGACATGATGGTTTAGATGATTGTGATGGATAGTGTGGCTTAGGAATTTTAGGACCAAATCTAACTGGATATTCTTTAGGCGTATAAGTTAGTGAAGCAGTGTTGTCATCAACATTTGGTTGCTTACGTAATGATGGTGATGGTGTTAGTAATTCTTGCGGTGGTAATGGCGGTGGTCTATTTGAATCAGATGGTATTGGTTGATTTTGTTTAAGTTGTTCGAACGTGTATATTGATTGTTGGGTTTTTCGTCGTCGAACTGGCGGTTCTGTTGAAGAAGAATACATTGAATTGGTTTGTTCACGATATTGTGATGATTGTTGTGGTTGTAAAGTTGAGTATGCTGAGTGTATCTGGTAAGGTGGTCTTTGTGGTCGTTTTTGTGGTTGTTTCTGTGGTTGTTGTTGTTGTTGATTGGCAATATCCTTATTACTTCTATCCGAGTCATCGATACTAGTTATATTATCTTCATGTCTAAAATTATTTTTATTTCCATTAGTTGAAGATTTTTTTTGAGATTTACTGCTATTGGTACCCATGTAAAAAAAATTTTTTTTGGAAAAAAGAGTGTTAAAAATTAATAATAATAATAAATTTTTTTTAAATATTATCTAGAGGTGGAAAATTTGAAATTTACTTTTTATATAACTTCATTTATATTACTCTTTTTTTTTTTTTTTCCAAGTTTCCAAATTAAAAAATAAGTGTACAATAAATAATAATAATAAATGGTCTCAAAATGAATTGGGGAATTTATAAATAAATAAAATTACACTAATATTAATATATCAATTCAGTAAATCAAAATTTATTACCAATCAACTAATTGATTGATGATTGATTTCTTCCGACTAACAAAACAGTAATCCAAGAATTCAATTGATTAACTTCTAATTAATACAAATTTATTATCGTGCATGCAGTTTTTTGGACCTTTTTTTCAAATCTCCTTATTATGCAATTGGTCGGTAGAATGATAATTAGCCCCCAAAAAAATTTATTTACTCCTAAAAAAAAAACTATCTTGCTATTCAATAGCCCGTCAAACTAATGGCCCCACCTCAAAACCAATAGATTTTTGCTAGTATAAGATTATAACGTTACAATAGTAAATAAACACTAAAAGATAACCAACACAATTTTATCAAATTGAAGTTTTTAAAATGGCAAGACAACTAACCATCTTCTTTAATTCAACGTCAATATATGTGCACCATTTGTAACAAAAGCGATACAAGACATCTAGAAATCTTGTTCGTCATGAAAATTCTACTTGTACATCTTACAATCAACCTCCCGCCAGTATAGTTTCTCTGCTTATGCAACATGTCGAACAGTTTAAAAAAATGAAATACATAGACGACTTTCTCTTCACTATAACAAATCAGGAAAACAACCTATCAGATTTCCATGTACTGACAGTGAATATGTAGCAGTGTTTGGAAAAGAATTAAATTGGTTTTCACCAGCAAAACGTACCTATCAATGTACTTTCAAAGGTTATGAGGAAGAAGCTATTACTTGGTGATCAACACGATATTATTAAGCAAATCAAAAAAGTTTAGTAATGAGTCATTCATAGTAAACTTTGATTTTTTTCGCGCACAGTGCGCATAGTGTGTGTAGGACTCACATGTAGTGAGTGTAAGCATTATAGAAAAGGTTTTTCACTTACCGTGCCATGAAATATGCGTGGCACATCATATCGTACTAAATTTTGGGGTTTAAACAGAATCAGCGCATATGGATACACTTTTTACAGTTTTAACGGTTATCGAATCACAATTAATTTGTTGAACACCGTTAACAATATGATTTAAACAACTTTTGGATAATTATCAACTTCATCCTATCCATTCAATACCTTGATCTCTCAGCTTTAAAAATTCATATTTTTTTATAACTAGTGATATGGACTTAAATAAATTCCTGATAAAAACTTGCTATATACGGCTTATTAATTGTTAAATACAGTATAAAAAAATAAAGGTCATCGTGACAAAAATCACGTGGTATTGGTTACGGTATAATAGATTTGTCTATTTTGCATTAATACCGAATTTGATAGATAATAAACAGATTGATAAACACTCATAAACCCAACTAAAGCTCCGCATGGACCGACTCACAAGTCAACTAGGTTTATTATTAATGATTTATTTATTTATCTGAGCGAAAATAAATTTAATGATTCAATTGTTCAATCTCTTGCATGTATTGACGTGCGCAAAATGCCATGCAAAATTACAGAATCGCAACATTTCAGACGCAGATATAATCGTAAAAGTCGAGTCAATGCAATAGGTTTATTAGTATCCTTTTATATTTGATGAATGAGTCACAGCCAGGTCACGATAATATAATGTTGTGTTGTTTGAGGAAATGTTACCAAAGTTATAAGCTTTAAAAATATTAAAGCTCGCAAAAAAACTTACATTTTTATATTTTTTTTTCTGTATCCCAATCTCTCATTTGTTTCATCAGTTGTCTTAAGGAGCTAAGTTTTTCTTTTGTTGAATACAATTCAGTTCCCACACACTCATTTACCACCAAATTCAAACATTTCTTACATAACATGAAACATTGATCGGGGTAGATAAAATCATCGATTATGGATTTGTTCCAGGGTCAACTAATTTTAGTGTATATAATTATTATCAATGAAAATTTTACGCAAAAGCTTTTTATAATATCAATATTGATTTATCTTTATTCTTATTGTAGTGATCAACGAAAATTTCGTTAAAATAACTTGTGGTCTTCGCTTGAAAGAGCATAACTTCTGGTCCTCGCAGAGGATAATTGACATTCTAATAATGTATAATTCTATGATAGAATCATTATTTTTATTAAACGTTAACAAGCTTTTAAAGTAAAATAAAAATAAAAATGTTGATTTTATTTTCTTTGTTTAAAGCGCTTTGATAAAAGCAACAAGTTTAATTACTTGGCAAAAGGTGACAATTATGGAGCTTTGCGTTTTATTTGCTTTGGTGGGTAAGCAAGGTTAGGACTAAAATTGGTTAACTAGTGAGTGTAACAACAATTAGTAACGTAATTTACTTTAATGAATAAGCAAAGGTTAGGACTAACGCTGGTTAATTAGTGGGTGTTAATGAGGTACACAGGTAACCCCGTTAAAATGAATAGTTTTTAAAACACCAAAGCCAAACATATGTAAATTACCCCGTTAAACTTTATAAACTGTAAACCGAAAAATTTTTAAATTTTTTGAAGCCATTTATATGTAAAATTGCCCCGTTAATCCGAATTTTTATAAACCGAAGTGAAATAAAAATTGGGCCAATAATAATAATATACAAGTTATACAAATACATATATGAAATTGAAATCTATAATTAAAATTTTGATTGGAGCGTTTGGATATGAAATTCTGATTGGCTAATTTGAATACAAAAGTAGTCCAAAAGTTAAGCCATAATGAGTATTAACCAAAAGACTACCTTGCAATATCACCATTTAAGAAAACTGTAAAAATTTATTATAAGAAATATTATTATAATTTAGAATAGAAATAAAAATAAAATAAAATAATTATAACAAATAAATTTATAGTGAAGATTAAATTAGTCACTTTCTTTTAATTACTAGAATCTAGTATTTATTAATCAATCAAATTTTTAGTAATAGTAATTCCCAATTAATTAATAATGGAATTTTTATTCAAGAAAGCTAAAATCAAAATTATTTAATGAACTGTCATTAATTGTATAACTTTTAAAGCTTTTTGATCTAGAAATCTCCTCATCTAATATTCTACTTGTATGGTATGCATCTGGATGTGATATGTGTATTTGTTGCAAATCACTAACACCAACACCACCACCGCTGTTGTTACAATCACTACCACGAACTTCCATATGTTTATTATAAGCAAAGTTACTCAGCTCTCTACTAGTTGGTCTTTTTGATGGGTCCACATCCCAACACATCTGCATCATTTGTACATAATCATTAGGCATTCCTGGCAATATTGGTGGTCGTAAACCTTCTTCACATACATCAAAAATTAAACAATGATCATGAGCTCTATCATCAAATGGTGGACGACCTGCAAATATTTCCCACATTAACATCCCAACACTATAGATATCAGATTCTTTTGTGTTCTTTTTGCCTCTAAGTAGCTCAGGTGCAACATATGATACAATTCCATAGACTTTATTTGATGATTTTCCATCAACTGGTCCACATAATCCTAAATCTGTAATATAACAATTACCTCCTTGCACAAGTATATTACCACTATGTAAATCACAATGGATTAAATCTTTTTCATGTATATCATCTAATGCATCACATAAATAATCAAAGATTATAATTCTGTCTTTTAATGTTAAATTAAAATGATTTTTTTTCAAATAACCCCTTAAATTTCCCTCTGGAGCATAATCTAAAACTATTGCATAATTTCCATTATCTGTGAATTTAGTTATACCATAACAAGGATTAATTAACCCCGATTTAATTTTACAATAATTTATTGCCTGAAAATAATATAAAATCAATTAGTATTATTATATAATACAGCATTATTTATTTTTGATTTAAATAAAAATACCAACCTCATCAAAAAAAGCTTGTCCTGGATTACTTGAATCATTTAAACTTTTTAATACTATACCTTTCCCTCCATAATAATAACTAAATTCCTTTTTATTTTCATCATAATCAATTATATACCCCCTTGTCCATGTAGCAGTATAAATTGAACTAAATCCACCCTCTGTCAACTTTGTTACTTTTTCAAATTGCTCAAAAGGTATCCATTCTATGATTTCAGTTGGCAGAGATGATTTCATTTGACATTGTTGAATAAAATCATCAATCATGTTATTTCCAGATGTCCAAGTAGTGAAAAGAGTCTGTAGTTGTAAAGTAATACATCCTCCACAGAATCTATCAGAGTATCTTGTTGTTTTACACTTGTTACATTCTTTTGGTTTGCCAAATTTATACGTTACATTATTTAATTCAAAACTATAAAGAAACCATTCTTTACAATATTCTTTTTCATTCTCAGAAAGCTCCTTGTTTTTTTTGACTAATGAAAAATAATAATCTTTTCTACTTTCTCTTTCAGAACTCATTAGAGCATTATTAAGCATTTCATTATCAATTTTAAATACAAAACTCCTTCTTTCTAGTGTTATTAATGATAACAATTTACTATAAGGCATCATATAAAAATAAATATATTTATAAAATTTAAAAATTTGTCTTGACTAAATCTATTGTGTTTTATTGAATAGAGTGGAGAAAATGATTTTTTTTTGTACTGAGAGTAGCACTAATTCACTTATTTATTCATCTGTTTATTTATTCATAATTCTTTATTTACACAATTCTTTATATTATTTCCTTTTGCAAAGAATTGATTGAACAAACAATTACTCTTTCTGAGCATGGTGGAAGTTTGATTTTATTGGATATAAAATGTGACAATGCAGATCATCATCTATACTTAAGTTCATTTTTTGAATTTCATGACTAAATTTTTTTATTGTAAAGAACTTTTAAATCAGTATATGTTGTAGAAAATATTCTATAAAAAAATTTTTGTCAGACGAAATTTACTTCTTAAGCAGATAACAAAATTTGGAATTTTTAAATGTTAAGGCTCTGCCAATTTTTATTAAGAAAAAAACTAGCCGACAAGTTTTGAAGCTTGAGTCATGAACAATAAAACTCATCGGTTAATTTTTTAAAATGGTATAAAAATTTTTTGTTTTTAGTATTACGAAGTTGACAATTGTTGCTATAATAATAATAAGCAATTAATTGATTATATACGATCTGCCTTTCATCTCAAAGGAGCCAACAAACAGCTAGAGCTATTTTGCGTGGATTCAAAGTAAAATCCAATAGTAAATATTTCTTAATAAATAAACGAGTTTAATGGGCCAATGCGCGCAATTTAATCCCAAAGTTTTTATTATTAATAATTCATAAGTCACATTCAAAATACCATTAAATCGGTCTCTAACCAGTCCAAAGATCGAGCGTCCTTTGTTCTCCAAAACAAGATCAGTCTTTGAAACTGAGTAATCCTAATTATTAGCTTACCAGAAAAACCTCAGGGGTGACCAATTCAAAAAAAAAAAATAACAAGTTAAAGACACCCCGAAACTATATAGATAACTTACTGCTTGCAGTTGGGTCAATTCTTATTTATATATAATAAAAACGAAAAATTACCAGATTTTTACTAATCAGTGTGAGTCAGTCAACCATGATTTTTTTATGAATTTTTCGGGGTCTGCTAATTGCTGAAACTAAAGAAATTATCAAGTCATGCAGCACAAAAAAATAAAGAGATTACTATACATCCTAAATAGTATTATTTACAAAGAACAATCCATTTCTTTGGTGGGTTTGCACTTTAATTGGTTTACATATGCAGTGACGGTATTAAATGCCATATATTTAACATTCCTATTGACTTTTCTTTTTTATAACAACAAGTATTGCTTTATTAATGGCTGGTGCTTTAATTTTTTTGGCAAA